ACAAGTTGAAGCATCTGAGTAGAAAGAGTGAGGTAAAAGGAATGCAAGCAGAGATAGTGCACACTCATATAAAGAAGTTCTCAATCGAGTATATCTCCAAGCCGAAGTTCTACACTTAGAGAAATTTTTAAGAAAATTCAAGAAAAGTAACTAAGAACAGAAATAAACAGGCAGTAAGGGAAGAAAGCTGAGAAACATCTTAATTTCATAAAGTGAGGATTTCAAATGTCAAGAACAAAAAGAAATTCTAGAAGCGGAAGCCGCCCACAAGCGGAAAACACAGCTGCCGAAGAATGTACTTAAACAAAAACAAAGTTTGTACAATGCAAGGCTAGCTGAAGCAAAAGAGTAAGGTAAAAAGCAGTTGTGGCATTAATTCAATTAAGAGCATGTAGATCTGCAAGATTCTGCATACCACTGCCCGAGTCCCTATGCTTCGGCGTTGGTTGGATCAGAGCTGGGAGCTTTCGGGGTCTCGGCAGCAGAAGAGGAGGTAGGGTGAATAGTGTCATTCTCTTTGGCCGCATCCCCATCCTCCTCGGCCTCATCTTCCTCGGCTTCAGCCGTGGCGAGACCAGCAAGGTAGGCATTTTCAGCTGGATGAGCGACCCACATCTTTGGATGGTTTGGGATCGTCGCCCACTCATCAACTTGGTCCCAGTTGATTTCGGGATAGGCATGGAAGGCCAAGCGCCAAGCAACATTGAACCCATTGTCAAAACCTTCTTCATATTGTGCTCGGGTGTAGATGCAGACCTTTAGTAAATCATTAGCAGCCGAGAGATCTGCCTTAGCCATTTCAGCCTCTTCTTTGGCCTTCGCAGTTTCCTCAATCTACGCCGCCAACTGATCCTTTAATTCTTGCCAACTAGACCTCATGGCAGACAGGTCAGAGTCCTTTGCATCTAGATGGTTGACAAGCCGCTGAGTCCCAGCCTCATGATTTGCCCACTCCATCTCAAAATCCTCGGCCATAGCTTGCTGAGCTTCTGCCTCTCTTTTCATCTTCTCCTCAATCCGAGCTTTGAAACTCGGAATGTCAACAACACCATACTCCTGAATCAAGGCATGGCCCTCTTCAATCCAGGGGAAAACGGTCCGCTCAATCCCTTGGCAGAAGTCTCGGAGCTGAGCATCCACCTCCTTCATCCGAGACAGGCTAGCAAAAGATTCCTCTTCTGCCTTCTTGCATTTCAGCTCATATAGCCGAGCTCGATTCTCAGCTTCCTTTGCTTTTTGCCTCAGCTCTTCATTCAGGCCAGCCGCCAGAACATTATTATGAACAGCCTATCAAGTTGGAAAATGCATTAGCCGAGGAAAAAAGATGTAAAAAAAGAAGAAGAAAGAGAGAAAAGGAAAGCAAGCTTAAGGTGAAGGGTTGGTACTTAAGACAAGTGTTTAAGTATAAGTTACCTGCATCAGCAGCTTCTTGTTCTCAGAAAAAGGGTCTGGCAACCTCACCAAAGGTTCGGTCACCCTCGTAGCAGCGCGAATGGACCACCTATCAGCTTTCTCTAGCTCAGAAATGCTGGACAAGTCACCAAAGAGCTTAATGGCTGAGTCTCGGTGAGAGTGCAAGCTGTCCCTAACAGCTTCAGGGACTACTAACATTGGGGTAGCCTATAACCCCATCTCTGTAGATTGAAAGGTCTTGAAAGAGTTCCTAGCAGATGATGGAATGTCAAACGCTCTAGGACCCTCAACTCTTTCATCAGCCTCTTTGAAGTCATTGGGTCTCCCCGACAAAATTTGCACATCATCATCCTCGGAGGGCTGCACAATGAAGGTGTCAACCTCTCTCTGGACTTCAGCTGTAAAATCCTCAGTCGTATGCCGAGGAGACACTGATAAGACAGGGGGAGTCCTCTGTTGCACTTCTTCCTCCTGATGCTCAGGAGGAGGAAGAGTCTTTTCCTTAGCCACCTTGGCCTGGGTCTCGGCCAGCCGAGGTCTCTTATTTGCAGGCTCAGAAACCGGGAATTCTCCCGGATCTACAATGGCTCTCCTCAACCTTCTCCTCCCAAGACCTGCCATCTCTTTTTCTGAAGAGTTGTCAGAAGAAGATGGTTTAGCTTTTTCAGTGTCCTTCTCGTTTTCTTCTTCTTCGTCAGACTGCAGTAGAAAAAGCAAGGGGGGCAAGGGGTGATATCAATATCATCAATAAAAATAAAATAAAAAAAGCAAACTCTCTCAAATCCGAGGCTTGACACTTGGACAATTTTCACAAAAAGGAAAGTCTAAGCAGAAAGAATAAAGCAGCTAAGAAGCAAAACAAAAAACAACAAAAGAGAGAGAAAAGCCTATGAGCTGAAGCTTAATACTTAGGCAAATTTCACAAGGTGAAAGGTCTGGGTAGGTAGAATAAGTTAGCCGAATCTTAGTACTTAGAAAATTTTCAGAATCATTTCACAAGTTGAAGGTTCAAACGAAATTCTAAGTCAAAGGAGAAAAGTTCAAAAGCATTTAAAAAGCTTACTGAACTCCTTAACAGCTCCTTGTCTGAAGCAGTGAGAACATTCGGCCCAGCAACAGATGTTGACTGCTCAGCATTCTACTCGGAGTTAACAGCAAAAACTCCGGCCTTCACAGCAGCTGCAGCGGCAACAATTTGCTCTTCGGGACCCAACAGAAAGAAGGGGTCCCTCTTCAAATACCACGACTTCTGAACAAAATATTCAACTAGTTTAACGATTTCTAGCTGATAAGGGCGCAGCGCAGGAGCCCTGGCAGATGGGGGAGTGATGGCAGGGTCGCGCCTCGTCACTTTCCGAGTTGCGCTAATCCCAAGTCGATTGTATTCCAAGCCGCAATTTCCTTCATGCAACACTAAAAAACCATAAAGAAAGCAAAGGGTTATTTTGCATGAAGAAATAAGGCTTTAATAGAAGAAAAATAAGCTAAGTAAAGACTTTCGGCCCCAGCCGAGGTTCTCACCATCTTGAAACTTTCGGCTGAGGCCAACAGCAGCCAATATCTTCTCTTTGAAGATACTCTGGTAGCAAGGGAGCCAGGTCTCTGGCACCCAGACTGTTCAGCTAGCACCCCTTTCATTTGGCTCTTTCTTGAAGAGTTTCAGCAACTCCTCTCCTCGGCAGAAAATTCATCGGGGCCGAGGATGCTCATTTTCGGATCAGGCATTCTCAAATGCCTCGGCCCCCCGTAATAGTTCAGAATGTCCTCCTCAGCAAGAGCCTGAACCTAAATCCATTGACCCCTCCAGTCCTTGTCCGAAGTATCATTCAGCCAAGTGGTCAAATACCTTCTCCGGGTCTCTATCCTCCACCACCCAGGTCCATGGTGCTCATTGGACTGCTGGTTCGGCACCAATTTGTGCAACTTTCGAAAGACATGGATGCTCGGTTGAAATCCGTAGAAGAGACTGACCCATAAAAATGTCATAACTCTTCGGATGCTGACCGGGGTTAATTGGCACAGAGAAATGTTATACCCGTTCAGCACCTGGATTAAAAGGGGTGGAGGGGAAATCTAAGGCCGAACTGTAGCTGCCTGGTGTATACGCCGAGATAACCAGGTGGAGGCCTGTGATTTCTATCTTCAACTACGGGCATTTGACACCAATACCCGTCTTCCTCCATTATGCCGTAGAAAATTTCTATTTGCTCGGCGAAGTGATAGAGGGAATCCCAATTGACCCACCAGTCATAGGGGGCAACAATCATCAACCCGCAATTTTCGGGCGGATTTTGCCATTCCTCGGCGCCTTCAGGTAAACGTCGAGGCCCATGCCTAGAGCCACTGGCTGAGGTTGTGGCCTCTTCCCAACCTCTGTACGACACTGAGGTCAGGGGAATTGCAGCAATAGGGGGCTCTTGAGGGGAAACCCTGTTTTCTCTTCTTGGAAGCGAAGAGTTGTGGTTGTGGCTGAGAGGGGGCATTCGCTGTAAAGGCTGATTGCGCCGAGCACCCATCTCAGTCATCTGAAGATCCTCCTCATCACTCAAGGATCCCTCTCTCTCAATTCGACTTCTAACCATTCTTTACGAAAAAGTGGATATTGGGAAAAAGAGGAAAATGCTCAAAACAAGAAAATTCCGAACAAGTTTTGGGAAAAGTTACCTTGACTAGACTCGAAATTTGCCGATATTCAAGTTCGCAGCAACAAATTCTAATTTCAGCAGCGGAATTGCAGAGATTAAGAGCGACGAAAAGTTAGGGTTTTTCAGTGAGTTCAATGAACTTAGGAAAATTTGTGTGTTTGTGAGAAAATGATTAAGGAAGGTGGTGAGGGCGCTTTATATGAGGATTTCAAGAATCAAGAATTCTAAAAGCGTTAAACCGCCAAAAACCCCACGAATTCTCAATTAAACACAAAGTGTCACACACGTTCCAAGTTAAGTACCCACTAAACCCTCTATCTTCCCTAATTAATCTCCTTAATGGAAGTTAAACATCATTAATTGCCTAGATTCCTTCAAAATTCAAGTTGTCATTATTTGTCCTCTCAAATTCGCAAGTCAGACCCAACTCGTCATTCAGCCGAATCGGGTCTGGGGGGCAAGTTGTTTGGGTCCAATTCCTCTCATCTAATTGGGCCAAGTCCAAATAATTCAACTCAAGCTCAATGCAAGGTTCAACTCTCCAAAAGCATGCTAAGGTCAACAAAAGACCAGTCAACGTGGTCAGCCCACCTGAATTCAAGGGCCTAATTCTCCTCAATTGAGTCGAGGTATAAAAACCATCAATTACATCATTTTACATTCATGCAACAAAAGCCTCAAACACTAAATCTCTTGCATAACATTCTCTCTCAACTGACTTTAGCATCGGAGGGGCCTTCTTCGGCAACCACCCCCGAGGCTAGTTTACGTGTTCTTTGCTGTGCTGGAAATCCTCGGCTCTAGTATTCTTTGGATCGAGACCAGTCTTCTCCACCTTAAAAGGACCCATTGGAGGTCCCATTGTTTTCATACCGAAACACATATTAATGTGGGTTAATAGGTAATGCACATTTTGAAGGATATACGAAATACGAGTAATTAGCAGCAGCAGCACACTGTTCATAAGAATAGGTAAGAAAATATTTTTCTATCAAAAATACGGGAACAAAACTTAACTGAAAAACTGAAAGAAGAAAAACTTAACTGTGAATGTATTCTCACCTCTCTCAATCTCTCCTCCGTTAAAGCGTATTCCAAGTTCACCAATCTCCATTGAAGGCGCTTCTGAACTATTTCCTCCATTTAAACAACTTTGAGGTAAGATGTTTTTCTTCTTTGTTTTGATTAATCGTTGAATATCACTCTCACAATCTAGGGTTTACGTTAATTTACTATCAGTAAAGTCAATTTAGGGTTTTTCTAAGGTTGATTATTGAACTTTTGGTTATGATCAATGAAGTTACGAAAGATTATAATGAGCAATTTTGTTGATATTCTTGAGCTAGAAGAATTTTATGTGATTTTTGGAGCCTAATTTGATAATTGTGTCAAATTTGGTTGATTATGTGTATCAGGCTTTAATTTATAACCCTTCTATGGTAGAATGGAAGTATGACATTGAACCTATTATTCGCAAGCCTTTTTACAAGACGATGTTTATCATAAACTATTTAATTTTTTGATCTTATTTAGATGTCAATTTAAAGTGATTGATATAATTCCCCCATATTTCTGTTTGTTATCTGATATTGTACTTTGACTTGCCAATTTGCCAGTATCCCCTTATTTTTTGTTGATTTTTGTGGTGTTATCGTCTCCATATTCGTACTTGTGCATCCTAGCCGTCAACCCTCTATTTCCAAGTATACTAAGTGCATTTTTTTGTTTGAAACTTAAAGGGTTTCTTATGCCTCACTCGAAGAGGTTTCAAGTTTGAATTTTGTGATATGGAATAATGGGAATTATGGATAAATGTTGCTACAGATGCAGGATTCGATTGCACCCCTTACCTTTTTTGTTCAATTTATGGATGGTATGAATTGATGTTTTAGAGTTCAGACTTCAGAATTTGGAAGGCAAGTGCAAGAAGCTTGCTCAGTGAAACTGTGGTGCTTGAAGAAAAAACACACGTGATTGCATTTACTTCCATCTATTTGCCTTTACTATGGCTGTGAAATGGTATGCATTCATATACATTTCTATTCATTCCTTTTCTGTTTAAGTTCGGTTGGTCTGAAATCTGCGACTCTAGGGTGCTTCACTGGCACCCCAATGCAGGGAGTACAGTGAACACTCAAATAATGAATGAAATCTCCCAGTGTGTTGAGAACTTGAATGGTGTCAAGGAAGGGAGGTGGAAATCTGTGCTCACCTTCTACAAGCCCATCACTCGAGGTCTATTTGTTATCCCTTTTTTTAATCAGTATTTTTTCATAAAAGTAGATTATCATTTTTTTAATCTAATACCTGTTGATTTTCCATCAGATCAGGCGATGGCAGCTGAATATCCCCGCGATTATCTTGGTTTCTCAATTCCAGAGCAACCCAACAAATACTACTTTATAATTCGTGGCCAGCGGATTGTTCTTGAAGCAGATTTAAGTATACAAACAATTATGGATAAGTTGCAATCATACAAGTCAAGGGTGTCCCTGAATTTTGAGGTTGGCTTCATTTTTCCGTTCCTATTGCTGCTGGAAGTTTGTTTGAAAGAAATACTTATAAAACTTGTGATTGATGGGATTAATGTGTTATTGACCTTATTGTTTTCTACCAAGACTATTCTTGTCATTGGCTAGGTGGAAACGTGGAATTGTAAATTCTAAGGAGAGTTCTAGTATTATTGCTATGGAGAATACTGTGTGAATTTCTATGTCGTGGAAATTGCTATGTAGTGTTTTAGCTGTTTATTTCTCCTTTGATGTATTAAAATTTGCAGGTTTTGTACCTTGGTCAAGGGTCCATGTTTTAATGGCAGGCAGCTCTCTATAGTGATGCCTGAAAATTCGTGTGGTGTTGTTGGGTTGCCAGCTTGAGAAGTTTTTACTTTTAAACTTACAGGAATACAGGATTATATGACCTTGTTACCTGAAATATGGTAGCTTAAATTATCTATTTTCTAAATTATCTATTTTCATAAATATTGCTTCAGTGATAATTGTGCTGTCTGTTTCCTTTGAAATCCATATGTTGTCTAGGCTAATGCAAATTTACTCATGTTGTCGACAGGAGTTTGTTACATATAGAATTCATCTATTTGCTTGATGTGTTGCATAACTGACTGGCTTTTTTCTTCTTTTTAATGGTCTTGACTGCTTCTGAACTTGCTCTTTTACTGCATGTGTGCAGGGAATCCAGTACCAGCTTGGGGACTTCCAAGTGAGAGTGGGAAAGGTTGCTCCTAGTCATTCTGAAACTATGCGAGGAATAGTCATGGAGGTATTTATTGCCATAAAAAATCAATCAATTTATCTGATTTGTTCTTGATAAATCATTATCATTATGCTAACTATGAAATGTAATCATGATAACTTGCTTCCTGTTCATTTCTAGATAAGCTGGTATTGTCTAAGAGGTAGTGCGTGAGATATTGTTTATTAGCCAAATAAACTAAATTCCCCCTCCGTTTTTTCACACAAGTTTCCTTGTGAAATTTTAGGAGAATTGTATAGGATGCTTGAAATATTTTGGTGGTGGGGCTTGTTGGAGAATTAAATATTACTACGTATGAGAAAGTAATAGTGTGTTTAATAACTTAATCAAAAATAAAGAATGTGAGAATAATGAAAATGATGTTGGAGTATGGACCTTGAAGAGAGGAAATAGTTTAAAATGTAGTTGTGGGGACCAAAGAAGAGACACTTATGAAGGTGGGTGTCTTCCCATTTGTATTTGACTGGTTTCCAGATGCAAGATGACCTTTAATCAAGTTTATAAAATGAGCTAATTGGAACAACCTTAATAAGTTTTTCTAGGAAAGTGGCATAAGTTCATCAATTTGATGGTGCCTGGCAATCTGGCATCATACTTTTGGTTCAAAGTGCAATAAGCCAATATGTAAAGCTGGATATTATTGGTAAGGACAGAACCACAGATAGAACGATGTTTCTTCACTGTTAAATGAAATAATGTGACTTTGATCTCCCAAAAGGAGGTCGGAAAGATGAATATTATGTATGTTTCCTAGATGTGAAGTGGGATAAGTAACAATTTTTGCTTAACTGTACTGTACCCCCTTTGCTTGATCACTGCTGAGATGATACTTAATGCTTCAGATACACAACACCAACATAACCACTTTGCCATATTGCAGTACACTATTTTTTTCAGAAACTGAAAGAAGATATTTCTGAAGTTGTGATGAGGTGTCATGCCATTTTAAATACTTTGTAATCATTATTAAGGTACAAAATTTCTTCTATTGAACAACGCACATAATATGAATATTGCTTCTCTACAGTGAGAAAATCTTGTTTGAAATTTCTTCTCTTGATTCTAAAGACAAGTAGGGTAAGCAGAAACAATTGAGTATTTTCTACAGGCACTTGTTATTCAGAATCCTGTCATGTGTGCCATTTCTCTGAACAATTTGAGCTTAATCCTTCTACATCATCCTGGAATATCAGAATGTAATCAACTTATTTAATACTTGAAAATTTCTTTTCTGAATGCCTAGCTTCATTTCTTAAAAGTAAGCTCCTGGTTGTTGAATGTGTAAGTCTGTCCTTCATTATATTTACATGTCCCCCCCCTTCCTCCAGGGTTGTGCATTTTTTTATTGTCTATGTTTCTTTTTTCGAGTTGTCCCTTTTTATTCGCTAAATTACCTGTACAGTTACAAGTTTCGTGGTTTGCTCCACTTCCAAGTCCCACACACTCATTTTTTCCTTGTACTTTCTGAATAAAAGGTGATGGATTAATAGATACAGTAATAAAATCCGGAATGATACTTGCAGTGTGGTTTCATGTACCCCACACTTTATATGTCTTGAAATTATTTAGCCCCCAGTTTATCAATGATTTGTTTGTTTATTGATTGATGAGGAATATGTAGTGGTTTTTAGGTATGTTGATATCTTGTTCTCTGCCATGGGTCAGCTTGCTTGTTTTCTACTGAAAGCTCATTGTTTGACTATCTTCATTTGTTTCTCTGTTTTTACAGGTTGAGTATCTTCCGATTTCTTCTATTGAAAAATCCAGGCAAATCCTTCAGGACTTTGTGGATATTTGGAAAGATACATTGTCAAAGAGGTTGCTACCAGGTCATTTTATTCATATCGAACCCAACTTTGGAGAGTATGGCTTAGGAGATCAGTATACCGCTGAACATACAGCAGTTCAGTATGCCACTGTCATGGCGCAACTGATTGCAACTGTGCAAACAACACAAGCAGTCAGAAATTAAAACCTTCATTATTCTGTACATGTTATATTATAACTTTTGTTGTAGTAGATGTGGTTCCCCACCTTTAGATCCAATTTTCTGTAGCTCGCAGCAGTTCTCACTGTGTTTTTTTTTTTTTTTTTTTTTTTTCATTTTTTTACCTCAAACTTCATGTTTTACTGCTTCTGATGAAACTGTGAAGATATGCAGGCCACTGGAGTTCCGGAGGGAAAAAGAAAAAAATGAGAGGATATGCAATATGATGATTGAAAAAGGGGTTTCTTTCTTGTGCCGATCTCCAGATTGTTGTCATATTAGCTTTTGCATGTATGCTTGTAAGATCATGTATTTTTGTGAATGCTATGAATAATAAATTTATACTAAAGGCGAAACCAGAAATGACACTTGTTATTTTCTGGTTAAAAATTTTCCCGCCTTTGTTTTCTTTCCATGTTTTTTTTTGCCAAATTTTAATGACATCCATTTTGTAACTTACAATAATACTTATTTCTATTTTGACAACGTATTTAATCCAATTATACTCAATTAATTTTGTTTTTACATGTATTCTACTGTATCTATTAGGAAACATTTAGTTACGAAAATACTAATATAGATTAAAAATAAGATATTGTAATGTATTGTAATATCAATCAATCAATAACTTTATATTAAAGGCGAAACTAGAAATGACACTTATCATTTTCTGGTTAAAAATTTTCCCACCTTTGTTTTGTTTCCTTTTTTTTTTTTTTTTTTTTTTTCCAAATTTTAATGACATCCATTTTATAACCTGCAATAATACTTATTTCCATTTTGATAACGTATTTAATCTAATTATACTCCATTATTTTTATTTTTATTTTTAAATATATTACTGTATATACTAGGGAACTTTTAGTTACAAAAATACTAACATAGATTAAAAATAAGGCATTGTAATATATTATTATCCAAGATTATTATAATATTATCAAATTTTTTTCTCCAACTTTTATCATTTGATAATAAAATTTATTTTAATTAAAAAAGAAAAATCATTTTGGTAGCATACTTTGTGTAAATCTTAAAATTATTATATATAACTTTTATAAGAACAACCGAACAAAATCATATATATTGGAAATTTCAATCTAATTACTATAAACATTTATGTGATTATTTAAAAAAAAAAAATTAAAAACCCCTACTACTCACTAAAAATATATTTAAAAAAGTTGATTACGGAATACTAATTATCCTAAAGTAAAATAAATTCAACTAAATTTTCATATAATGCCGATCAAAGTGTGTAACAAAATATAAGGGTAAATGTATATGAGTTTGTATATGGGTACTAAGCTAAGCTAATATTTTCATTCATTTATATAAAACCTTATAGCTTCTAATTTCTATTACTATTTTATACAATCTAATTCAATAACCTTTAGATATTTGGTATAAGTATAAATTAAAATTCAAGTTAATTTGTTACAAATATTATTTTTGGTAAAATTATTGTTGAATTAACAGCATTACTTATAATTTATTTGTTGTAAACTGTAATTATGACCGTACATGGCACGGGAGTTAACCTAGTTTATGATAAAGTGATAATAGCGCAGACCCTTATAATTTTGAACAAAAACATTGCATTTACTGTGTAGGAGACACTAGGAGACTCAAGACCATTTTCTTTGTTGTCATATCATTTGCGAATTTTGGGCTTTCAACCATCAACCAATTTTACAGTTGATTAACTCAAAAAATTCTTCATAAATAAGATTATTACTTCTATATTGAGTATTCAAAATTCGAATATGTTGCTAAAACCCCACTTATATATATATAGGTTAAATGCATAATCCTTTAAAATATTCTGTATTCCTTTTGTTTCAGATTAAATGCAATATGTTGACAGACACTTGGGAAACCTGGGCGAAGTTCTTGGAAAATTGTCTATAAATAGCAAAGGGCCACAACGTAGAAGACATCATCAAATCAACCAATAAAAGCATTTTATTTATTTAAGCTTTCTTAGCACTTTTCTTAATTTACCCCTGACTTAGTAGCCAAGTATAGATTAGATTTAGTTAGTATGTTCTGAACTCCGTTCGAATTCTAATTGTATGAACATGGAGGTAGTTTTCTCCTCATGATTGTAGCCTTGATTTTATCCTTTATTTATTGGAAGGCATGTGCATCTTTATTAAATGTCCATTTCCTTTATTTGATTCAATTCTTATTTAACCAGTTCAAGTAGTGCAATTATTCATTTGTAATTTTTACGTTGACAAGGTTATCAAAATATAATTAGTTTCAGTAGGGGTAGGGCCCCCCCCCTTTTTTTTAAGAGCCACAAGGACAAGCGATAATAATCGATCCCAAGATCACCTGAAACCGAGAGGGAAGTTTTAACCACTTGAGCTATCCCTCACTCTCACTAGAGGCATTCCTCTAATATCCTAAAATAATATATGAAAAACAGTCGAATTCAGGTTTGATTGAGGGATGAAAATTGAGTTGTTTGTGTCTTGATATTGCCCTTGTTTTTAAATACTTACCTCTTTTTTTTTTAGTTGACACGTATTCTTTTTTAGGAAGTTTATTTTTAGTTGACACGTTTTCTTTTTGGGTAAGCTTTATACCTTGCTTTTTTAGTGTACCCTACTTGCTTTATCATTCTCTCTCCTCTCCTTAATATATTTGCCTAAATTGAATGTATCAACTAAATAGAAACGTAGGAAGTATAAAAAAAATTCCAAAGAAATCAAACATATATAAACGATACGAGATTTGGTGCGTGGAAAATGTAAATGATATTTGAGAAAATAGAAGGGTAAAAAGGAAAATTGATACTTACTCCGTTTTTTTTTATAGTTGCAACAGTTTGACTTTTATACAATTCATGTGTTCCACTTTGACTAGCTTGATGATTTATAGCTATACAAAAATATAGTCATGTGAGATTTTGTTAGATTCATCTCGATTTATACTATTTTAATATTAAATGTTTATAAATTTTACATATTGGTAATTACAGATATTAACGATTGAAAGCATGCATCGACAGACGTGAAAAGAAAAGTGTTGTAAGTATAAAGAACAGAGGAAGTATATAAAGAGGCTTACATTTAAATTTATATCACTATAAAGCACGACCCACCCATAAAGGACCCATAATTAGACAATTGTATAAAAATCCGGCCCATTTATTTATTGGACGGATCTGACCCATTTGTAACTGGGGCAGGTTAACCATTGAATTGCAATGTCTCTATCTCTCTCTGATTGCTCCATTGAATTTGAAGCGCACTCAACATCGCACTTGACGTTCTCCACTACAAACTACTTGTTCTCAGCAGCTTCTGAAGTAAGTTGCTAATATATTGAACAACCCTTTAATGTTAGGATTGAAGTATGAAATTAGACCTCTTCTTCGTAATTTGTTTTGGTGTTAAAACTTAGAGATATTTGATACTATAACTATGTTTGTTGGTGAGAGAATTATCTATATGATGAATGGGATTAATTGTTTGAAATTTGAAGTATTTGCAAAGCTAGATAAGTTCTCAAGTTGATAGCATTGTTATTTTCAGCAGCGTAGTATAGTTGATCGGTTTTGTTCAGTTTTAGGGAGTGGAGTGGGTATTGGGTATGGTTTATTTTCATCCAATTCCGCATAGGTTAGGTTGGAGCGTTAGGAGATGATCTTGGGTAGTACATGTAACCAGGTGTATGCTCTAATTTGCACAGTGCCTTATTTGGCTTAGTTTCTTCCCCTTTACAGCTAGGATGAATTGATTAATGAAGGGTGAATTCTTTCGATATATACTGGTTAAATTTCGTTGTACATTATGAGTCGTGTATAACAATGTCAATGGTGGACATCATTCATTATGAATGTATTTGTTTTGGATACATTCTTTGGTCCTTTATACTCAATTGAAACCTTCAATTCCTCTAACGTACATGCAATCTATAAGTATTTGTTATACAGGGAATTCGTCGCTAACCCCATTATGACTAACTCACGGCTTTATCTTTGTAGTAGTTCACAATCGAACTGTGATGAATCCAGCATCGTTTGACCAAAAACCAGCACCACGAAAGGTTTACATCTCATTCTTTCATCAAAAACACGTTTATTGTTCCTAGGCTTTTCTATAATATGTGTCTTTCTCATTGTAGGTGAGATTTCAACCAAAAGCTCCTGTACGCAAAGCAACAAAAGCTGCTGTTACAAAAGCGTATGGTGTTATTGCTTTAGTAGTGTGGTTTTCGGGGGACTAACTCTGCAGTGTATATATAGCCAATTAATGTCTTTTGTTTGCAGTGAAGTGATTGATGATGCTGAAACTGCAAACAGTTAGTGCGACGTTATCAGGTTTTGCTGATATCTATTGAACATCTATTTCCCCATCTTCTGTCATCATTATATGTAAGCAAATTTTTCCTGTTCTAATCTATTGCTTTTCCTTTATAGGATGGCTTTACAGCGAAGCCTAAGACTAATAAAAAATGTGAGTTCTTTTCTGAGTCTTTACTCCTTGCTGCATCTAAGATATGAGCGTCAAGCACATGAGCATTATGATCAAGAATGCTCAAGAGTACCAAAATTACCCATTTTATTGAAGAATCCTAAAAACTAACAAATTTTGTTTGGTCAAGTTAGCATTTATAGTTGTTTACATTCTTTTGACTCAATATATATCCTCATTAGCTTTCTCTCCCCTCTTTTGGTAGGTAAGGAACTAAGGAGTAGGAGTGGACCCCTAATCTTCCAAGGCTTCAATAATGATTAGGTAAATTTTATAAGGGACCATATCCTTTGATAAGTGGGTTAAGCCCAACCCTACCAACCTGCTACTCCTCATCCCCATGTTATAGGAGAGAAATACCACTAGGGATTGAATCATAATCGTAAACGGTTACCATAGCCAAGTAAGCTTAATGTAATCAAGCTATTAGCTTATTAGCTGCCTGCTTATGCATGTTGTCATTGTGTCTCATTAAACAAGGAAAAGGACTGTGGTTAGATGGAAGCTGTTTGAAATACTGCTAATTTTAAGTTTTCTTTTTCTTAACTCTTATTGTTGATTCCTACATGAATGCATGCATATATGTTTGCTATTTGCCTATTTGGAGAGAAAATTCTTGCCTTTTTGAGATGAACGGGATAATTGTGAATTGACATGGTTCTTAGTCAATAATCTTTAAGGATTTTATTTTTTTTTAATTTTTTTCTTTTTTAATTTTTTTTTAATAACACCTGAAGTTTCCTCTTGGTTTCTTGGTATGCAGCAGAGCCTGTTCAGCGAGTTGCATTTGGGTATGGTTCATCAATCCCCAGTAATCAATTCAGTGCCTCCAATGGAAATAATTCTTGGCATCAAGGTATAGTATTTTTGTGAGCAATTACTTTGATGGTTTCACTGCTTAAACTAATATGAATCTAAGAAATTTTTTGTAACCCAGATAAAGCTCGGTTTTCCAACTTGAGAGAGAACAAAGAATACAAAAAACCATGGGTAGGTTTTTTCATTAATGGGTCAAATTGTTCATTACCCTACTCTCATTTAATTTTTTCTGCCTTTTTCCTTTGTGTTGAACTCATTGTACCGTAATTGATTCTTTACATGCTTTCACAGAATTATTACAGGTATTATCCTGTAACTCTTCCAATTCGAAGGCCTTATTCTGGAAATCCAGGTATGTCAAGGCATGTGACATTTTTTTTTTATATTGACTTTGAATATTTGAGTACCATCAATTTGTGGCTCAATGTAATTTGCTTTTAAGTCAAATATAGATGCATAACTCTTCTCTATGTAAAAGCTTTTCTGCTACTGGTTGTTTTGGCAACAGATAAAATTAGAATTTTAATTTCTAATTTTTTTTTTTTTTTTCAACTTGTTCTTGCTTTCAGATATCCTTAATGAAGAAGAATTTGGGCAAGAGTCTACTTTTGACGAAAATATGTCCAACCCAGCGATGGAGCTTGGCCTTATGGTGAGCATTAAAAATAGCTCCACGTGATGTGAATTTATAAAACAATAGAGTTCCAGATTGCATAATGTGTCTGAACTTTTCATGGCAGGAGGAAAATTCTGAGCCTAGGATGATGTTTTTTCAGCTACCAACAACTATCCCGATGATAAAACAAACTTCAGCTGCAAGCCAAGATTCAACCAGCAGCTCAAAAACACCAAGTGGCTCAAACCCCATAGAGAAGGCTGCTGGATTAAAAGATTTACAAGCAGGTATCATGGGAAAATTGCTGATGTACAAAAGTGGTGCTGTGAAGCTTAAGCTTGGAGATGCCCTTTATGATGTAAGTACAAAATTACCAATATTAAATGGCTGTAATGTGAGTCTAACCTTAAACTGGCTACAAAGGTAAAAACTGAGATGGTATATTTTCTTTTCAAGTGGTTGAATCGGTTGTGTTATGCCTTTGACTTCAATTGGATTGTACAACTTGAACGTCCCCTTTGTTGCCTTTACTCTTTACATCATGTATAACATATGATTGCTATAACAACCACTCAATGCACAGGGCTTCTATGGCTTCTACCATTGTTGATTTTCCTGATGTTATACAACAATTGTTTTAGATGTCCACAGAAAACTCATCAGTTGACCAACAAGGACAAAAGAGCAAGTTATTTCATTTAACCTTCTTAAAACAATTCATTACTAAATTGCCCACTAGCAACTCTCATAAATCTGTTCTCATAACTCTCATCAGTATTTGGATTGAACTGTTCTATATTTAAATTAAAATATCTTGGAATGTAAAGTTGCCTACATTTGCTGCATTGTGGTTGTTCTTTTTCTTTGCTCTAGAGAATTCCTTCCTATCCCCATCTAATTTTTCAATAGTTTTCACTGCATTGAGATCCCATTTTTATGGTTTACCTTTATGCTGCAGGCAAGCCTTGGTTCAGATTGTACATTTGCCCAGGATGTTGTGGCTATTAATTCTGCGGAGAAGCATTGATGTGTTGTTGGGGAGCTCAATAAGCGTGCTATTCTAACTCTCGATGTGGACTCTATTTTGGATAAATTTGCTGACTTAGGTTGCTAATGGTTAAGCTTTAAGATACGGAGTACTTAGATCTGATAGTCTACAGAAAAGAGGATATACAGTCTAAACATAAAAGGTCTTTAGAAGTCTGCTTTCCATACCTTATAATTCCTTCAATGATAGTGACCAAAAAAAAAAAGCCTTTTCTTAGAACCTGTCAATGAAAAAGGGAGAGGTTCCTTTTGCTCAATTTTTTTCTTCACATGATTAGTTGCAATTACAAGACAATGGGAAGTGTACTTAACATCATTTAAAGGCCAACTGTGCTTGAAATGATGTAAAATTTTGACATTATTAACAAAATATGATTATTGAATGAATATTTTCAGTTTTTTCATGTGAAGTTTCTTGCTAAAAATTTTGATAGTCCAATTAAGACTCTTATGCTAGACTTGTAAAATGGTTCTGTTCCTTGACTATATAGCAATGTGTAGATGCAGTTAACTTGTTGATACATGTACTATATTACTATGATATCATTGATGTGATTATAGCAAAGTTAATGAGAACAAAGGATGAGTCTTATCACTCATTGAGTCTTCACAAAATGACCATGGGTGTAAACATTTGTGGCCTGTTTCATTCATAATGCTGTATTTCTTTCACTTACTCCTTTATTGGTTGCACTGGTCTTTGTAAACCATGAATGTAATAGGTTTTTTTTTATTTTTTTTATTTTAATATATAAGAAAGAAAAATTTAAATAACAATTAATATTTATCCACTCAATTTCTCACATAACAACTTCCAACATTGTGATCCACTTATCCCCCAAAACTATTCATTAAGTACCATAATTTAATAAATCATACTATATCACAAAAAAAAAAAAAAAAAAAAAAAAAAAAAAAAAAGAAGATACTTTCAAAATCAACTTCGCACATTTGAAAAAAAAGACTTGTATTATTCCGTATAGGATGGGTACACTCTAGTTCCGTAGGTATAAAAGTAAGATTATGACAACATCAAAGCACTAGTATACAATACACATGGTAGGAGATTTATAACAAAGTTGCAGCTTGTTTAATGTTTAAAGTTTTTGAACTATTGAGCATGGTAAGGGGATACATTATAATATGAGCTCCATGCTGTGGTTGAAGCATCATAACAGTGTGGGGAGCATGACTGTAGGATGGGGAGAGCTGAAAGGAGAAGTTCTGTAGAATCATAGATAAAGCCACCTTCGCTTCAACTAGAGCAAAATTTTGACCAACACAAGTCTTTGCACCAAATCCAAAGGGGAAGAACGCGAGTTGATCTTTGGATGCTTTTGAAACTCCCTCAGAAAATCTCTCTGGGTTGAACTCATCCACATCGTCTCCCCAGATATCAAGGTCATGATGGATAAGTAGTGTAGGAAGTGTGACATCAACTCCTGCTGGGATGAAGAAGTCTCCAAGTTTGGTTTCTTTGTAAGTATGTTGGTATTGAGCAATCACAGGGGAGTATAGCCTTAGAACCTCCAGAAGTATCATATTAACCTAAAGTACCAGAGAGGAAAATATTCTTAAACCGCTTTTATATCCTACATATCATAAAGTTTAGAGCATTATTTATTTAAGACATAACTCTTAGAACTGAAATACAATCTGATAAGACAAACTTACTGTCCTGAGGTAAGTAGTTGCTTCGAAATCTATAGAGTTTTTCCCACAAACTCCTATGACTTCTTTTCTCGCTTTCTCTTGCCAATCTGGATGCATAGCTAATATTATCGTAGCCCAATTAAGTAAGCTTGCGGTTGTTTCTTGGCCAGCTAAGTAGAATTGCTTGCACTCTTCAATCACTTCCTCTACGGTTAACCCGCCATATTTCAGAGTTGTAGCATTTTCTGCTTCATTGCTGTGTTGATTAGACTGCAGAAGCAAGCCTAGCAAGTCATCCGCCTTTGATTCTCCTGCTTTGACAGCACTCTCCTTTTTCCTGATCACATCTGTGAGCATTGATGTGATCATCTTGCTCAATTCTTTTCTCCTCCGATTCTTTTTAGTAGGAATATATCTGCAAGAAATTTAATCCTGTTTTATCATGAACTGTTCTCCCCTTACACTAACTTACAGAAGCACTAAAAGGATATACCTGAGACCAGGAATGTACAATGTCTGCATTGCTTCTATCACAAGATTCAAAAGCTCCTTATGAAGCTCAAAAATGTGTCTCCCTTCTGCATAGTTGCTCCCAAACGCTGTTCTCGAAATTACATCTGCTGTCAGATTCTGAAACTCAGGCCAGATGTCAACTTCACAACTTCCCTCAGCACCAGCCAAATTCTTCCATTTCTCGATGAACTCACCACAAGCAGCGGCCATATCAGGTACCATGTTCTATATATGACAGAATCAGACCTCTAAAGCAAAAAATAGGAAGAACAGAATTACGAACAGACCTTTAGCCTCTCTATATGGAAAGCAGGGTTGATGATCCTTCTGTGTTTTGTCCACTTTTCTCCTTCCAAAGTGGTAAGACCCCTAGTTAGGACTAAGAGTTGGGGGTCTATGTATGGCTTTTCAAAATGACCTTCCTTATTACTTAACACTTGTTTCATCATCTCCGCGTCCTTGATAATCAGCCTCGGCGTTGAGCCTGCCCAGCACATGGATACCTTCCCTGTTTTCATAAAACATGTTCAATCCCAATCTTATATTGAACTGTTATTTTACAGCAAATTTCAACTGTTTGCCTCAATTTCTATCTTAGTTCTATTTAACTTACAACAAAAATGGGCAGGTACATAATTTTTGAACTGCATGTACATTTTATCTTTGCTTAGGCCTCTTTCTTACATATATAATCTGAAAGTGGTAGTGTAATAAAATTAGAAAGAGCAAAGAAGTTGATTATCACAAAATTATGGATGAAATGCTAGATTATTACCTGGTCTCTGAAAGGTTGACTCTTTACTTTGCAAGTAATGATATTACAAACATAGAACTTCATAAGTAATGACACAACACAAGACTTAAACAAGGATTCAAATCCACCATATTTCTTTGGATCGTAGAATTGTAAGATCCTAAAATTCGTACGATAGTTGTAACAACTATATTCTCTTGCAAAGACATACTACATATTATATAGTCATTCTTAGAAAGATTAATAAATTGGATAGACACAAGTCACATACTCACGTACCATACTTCTGGGAAATACTATGAGTGAAAGGATCGACACGAGCTGCAATCTGGTGGTTAAGGTTGGCTGGTTTGGACCAAGCATCCTCTACTTGCTTCACCCATTCTTTCATGTCTCCAGTCAAGAAAGTGTAAGAGGTGCCTTTTATACCTTGTTGCTTCAGTTTCTTTTCCAGCCATTTTGGCTTCCACCAAAGTGAATATAAAACTTTAGTAAGAGAATATAGAACCAAAAATATTATAGGGGTGATGAGGATTAGTATTAAAGGATCCATTTTCTGATGAAAATAAACAGTTTGTTGTAGATAGAATTCTGTGTAGAATTTGGTTTGAATTTATAATCTTCAAGATCATGTAATAAAAGTATATTTTAATATTGTAGATTATTTTAACATTAACATAGTCTTGGAGGAGAAGTTAGCTGCTTTGACAAGTTATTTCAAGTCTAGATATGTTTGTAGCTTTTGGTAAGTTTAGGACTTATAATAATTTGTTTATTACTTTGTATGTTAGTGTGTTGAATTTTGACTTTGCTGAGATAGTACACTGTTAAATATTTTTATTGTATGTTGCCTTCAAACAAATTCTTGAAGAACCAGTTGGCTCTTTTGACAAGTTATTATTCCAAATATTCCAATCTTCCTTCCCTTTTTCTTTTAATTTTTTTTTATCTCTATTACCAGGATGGCTACACGAGCGATGCGCGCGCGTCATAGCTAGTAATATTCGGGAAGGTCTTTTAGTTTGGCCTTACATCACAAATTTAGTTGTTAGTAGCATTAATGAAGGGAAATATGTAAACACATATTTTTAGGGGTATAAATGTCCGCACAAAATTCTTAACAGTTTAAAAAAAGAGTTAATTAACATTAATGGGGGCAATTAAGTAAATAAACATTTTAGAGGGTATAATTATCCAAACATTATTCATAAGAGTTATCTCATACTTTTTAAAAGGTAGGAATATAAGTCAAGAGAGAGGCTATGGTATCCCCTTAAAAATACTTTAATACCCCTACATATACTAAAAAGTGGTTAAAAAAAATTCTATAATGTTGATTTTTTTAATTGATTCAAAAAAAAAAAAAAAAAAAAAATCATTCGTTCATAATCATCCATCAATAATTAATTGAATTGATTCCATCAATTAATTATAATCTTTAATCAATTGACCTCATAAGATTATTTATGATTTACTCCATCATCTTTTATTACAATCAACTAATTTCCTAAGTTATTAAATAATTTCATTAATCCCTCGGTTAAAAAAAATTCTATAATGTTGATTTTTTTAATTGATTCAAAAAAAAAAAAAAAAAAATCATTCGTTCATAATCATCCATCAATAATTAATTGAATTGATTCCATCAATTAATTATAATCTTTAATCAATTGACCTCATAAGATTATTTATGATTTACTCCATCATCTTTTATTACAATCAACTAATTTCCTAAGTTATTAAATAATTTCATTAATCCCTCGATCATTAAATTGAACAATTCAATCAACCTATAAAATCAATTCACTATTTTCCTATTATAGTAGAACTAGATTAGTGCCCGTACGATACACGGTAGTAATAGTCTTTTTTTTCCCATAATTAATTTATGATATCATATCACTAATATATAAAGCCGGTCTCGCAGCAGGCCGCGACATTTGACATTCCATTTTTTTGCCAAGTGTCGCGCCATGTAGGCAACAAATAGCTATTATTATGACACATATAATGCTAAGTAAGCGATTTTTGGATAAATTTTTTAAGATAAATGTTATATAGAGTTTTATTATTGATAGAATTCTAATAATTCATATATACAAAATTAATCATAACTTTTTAAATATCCTATAACTCGGTTTTATTTCCATCATAAAATTCGTCTTAAAAAATTCTTTAAAATAAGAACCATTTATAATATATTTAATCACAAACTTTTATACGTAGCTAGCCACGAGACAGCGACAATTAGCATTTCGGTTTTTCGCCAAGTGTTGCGCCACGTAGGAGATAAATAGGTACTATTGTGACACATATGATGCTAAGTAAACGATTTTTAGATAGAATTTTTAAGATAAATTGTTACTAGAGTTTTATTATCGATAATATTTCATATATACAAAATTAATCATAACTTTTAATAAATTTCCTATAATTTAATTTTATTTTTATCATCAAATTCGTTTTAAAAAGTTCTTTAAGATAAGATTCATTTATAATATATTTAATCACAAACTTTTATACGTAGCTGGCCAAACCGTGTCACCAACTATTACAATATCACAGTTGCTTCTTTAGTGCTATAGGGGTTACTTCGTCAGTGTTTTAGTGGTTACTCAATCATGTTATAGATAGGGGTTACTTAGTCAGTGTTAACAGGGGTTACTCGATCAGTTTTATAGGGGCCAGATGGTGTGGTTAGCCGCATACAAAATACATTGTTATTCAATTTATTTAAAAAATATTAGAGAATCAGTAAAATAAGTTTTAATCACTAAAAATAATTTTGGTTTGATAAAAATATTTTTAATTCAGTAGAAATAATCTAAATTCAATAACAATGATTTCAAGTCCATTAACATAGATATCTATTTACAAACAAAACTACAAAAAGTACATTTTTCTATAAATAAGCGATATGATACGTATGTCTAAATATCATGTATTATCAAAAGAGATTACATGATCGTATTACTGAACCTTCAAGCCAAAAAGTTTATCTTAAATTTTATCAACAATCCAGGCATAAACATAGATATCTACTTACAAACAAAACTACAAAAATTACACTATTATATGATATTGTAAGTTTAAATATCCTGCATTATCAAAAGGGATTAGATAACCATATTTCACATTTAAGTAAAAGGTTTATCCTAAAATTTTATAATCAAGCTCGGGAACAAAACTTGTAAATAAAAATGAGGCAACTCATGTGGAATAAATAAATACAATGCATATAAAAAAAGATGAAATAATAAGGCAAAAATTATTAAAACTACAATTGAGGAAAAAAAAAAATTATTTTTGATTAGTTGCGTTGAAAATATTTAAACATATTATACATTATATTACATTAATGATGCGTGTTATTCCCAATAAAACTATACAATTTAGATGTTGAATGGATTTTTATTAATGAATTAATTTAGTTCGCAAAAAAAAAATTAAGTATACAATTTAAATGCCATATTATACCGCTCTACCAATTTCATGAACAGCAGGTTGTAGATTTTTAAAGGGCTGACTTGCTGGGTTTTTTGTTGCACCTTCACTGCCTGTAAGCTGCCCAGTTTATCTTGTAGATATAGGTTCTCCTGTAGGCTACCCAATTTTTTGTTCCTGCAAACACACATAACTTTAGGAAAAACATTAAATATTATTTCCAGTACCATTTATTTATTTTGTGAATCATGTATTTATTTATTTTAATGAAGAACACTAAATTTTATTTTTTCTAGCATCGGATACTATTTAAATGCCATAGTATACCTCTCTATCTACTGTACAACTTCCGCCAGCAGCACTTCCAGCAACAGGAGGAATCTCTGAGGTCTGATTTTCTGGGTTGCCTTTGGTTGTCTCATTTTCTTTTGAATGTTCCTACAAACACACACAATTTTAGGAAATACATTTATTAATATTTCCAGTATCATTTATTAATTTTTTATAACATTATCTTCTGCAATATAGACATATTAATCATATTTAATTTTAGATGATCAAATATAATTTTCTAACATCAAATCTTATTTAAATGCCCTACTATAACTCTTCAGCTATAGGAATTACTGCAGGTTACTTGTAGCATCAGAACTTCCAGCAGCAGCAGCAATTTTATCAACAATGGTAGGTTGAGCTTTTTCTAAGGGCTGACTGGATGGGATGCCTTCGGTTGTTTGATTTTTTGTTGTTTGTTCTGATAGCCTGAATTCCGGGTTTGGGGTTGCCTCCTCTGCATTTTTTTCCTACATATACAAAAAATATGTGTTTTTACATTTCTAAAACTTTTTAAATATGTGCTACAAATACACACACATATTCATATTATTTATAATTATTCTAATATTTGATGCTTTTTAAATCCCCTAGTATGTAATTTACCTCTCTATCTTTAGGAGCACTTGGAACAACAGGAATTTCTTTTGGAAAACCGTGAACATCAGCAGTTTCTAGTTCCTACGGAGAAAATATAATTTGAATTAATACTAGTTCCAGAATCATTTCTCTTTAATTTGAATCTAATGAGGTTTTATAAGGGTAATTAACTTTGTTACCTTTGCTGGTGGTTCAGAAGTATCTTTGTCACCCGCTACATTCTCATTTGTAGAACGAGATGCTCCTCCCGTTTGAGACTGCTATTATCAAAACTAAGTCATTAAACGAGTTACATGCATCAATATCATTAATAAATAGTAAATTGTTCATTTTACCTCTCCTTTGTTGTAGGATTTATCTGTTTCAGCTTCATTAATGGCGGCCTTTCCGCTACTACCCACAGTGCCTACATTAGACACATGTGTAGGTTCCCCTCCCACTTGGTCCTTCTAAAACACAAATACAATTGCTATAATTATTAATAGGGTCATTTTTTATTAAGTAGAATCATATGTGTTTTATTAATAGGTCAATTAGTTAAAAATATATGTTCTGTTGATTTAGAAACCTCATTCTCAGCCATGTCATCTTTGTTTGGGCTTGTTTTATTCTCTTTTGTCAAGTGATGCACCAGTTGATTGATCTCGCAATTTTTAAAATTTTCTCATTCAATTAAGTGAAGTCAAAAGGGACTTGGGGAAGATTTTAACATAACAGAGTAACCATCCTACATCTTAATCCTTGTGAAAGAGTAGCAGGAGTTGCAGAAGTTTTTAAAAAGATTATTTATAGAAATGAGTAAAACAAAATCCAAAATCAAACAAAAAAATAATTACTACGTTTCTACCTCTGAATCCTTTGCCAATCGCCCTGCCAAATTTGTTATCGTATCCCATTGATTATTCGCAGGTTCATTGTCCTATGAAACCCTTGGAAAGGCAAAAATTAAATTGATTATTTACCATATCTAACTTTACTAAGTTAGATCACATTTGTTCAATTAAGGAATACATAAACTAGTTTTTGTTCAATTACCATATCTAACATATACCTAGGGTTTAAGTGGAACTATATTAAAATTGAAAGAACTTCCCTGAAAAAGAATAATCCTTTTTTCTCCAAAACTACATAATTTACAAATGTAATTGGAGTCCCCAGACTCGTTATTGAGTTTAGATTATGTGTAATTTCGTTAATTATCTCAAAATTACTCAATCTCACAATTACTAAATCAAAGTAGTTCAACAACATTACCAACATAATACGAAATTTGAAGCATACATAGAGCAAATTATATAAATAAGCGAAAAACTTAGTTTGTTGTTACTTACTTTTTGGTAGATGACTCAATCGTAGAATTTGGGAAGATGCTTGCTGGTGTTGGACGAATAGAGAAGCGAAGAAGTCTTCATCGGCCGCCGATTTTGTTTTCTTTGAATCCATTGATTACAGAGGAAAGAGAAGAGTTATGGGAAAATGCAAGTGCAATAAAATAAAGTGAAATATTGAAGGCAGGTAGTTTTTTTTTTTTTTTTTTTTTTTTTGTTACTTAATTTTTTTTACTAGAGCGGTTTTCACCCTAAATACAATATTTATAAAAATGACGGTTCTTCTTTTAGTGAAATGTTGAGTCGAATCACAAATTTTCTTATTTTTTATATATATGTATACTCCTTTTATTCCTGAAAGTTGGACTCACTTTACATTTGTACGGTCTCTAATGAACATATTTGATCAAGAATATCTCTGATTATGTATAAGTGAAAGTTATAAGAAGTTGATATTTAGAATATTTATAATAAGGAGAATTTAACAAGATCTCACATGTTTTATTTATTTCTATTGTATAAATTATAAAATATGGTCAAAGTTATTTTAGTTTGACCACATGAATAGTAAGTAAGTCGAACTTTTAGAACGGAGGTAATATATTTTTTGAGGAAATATTACAAGTTCTTCTTTAAAATATTACATATTATATTTTTAACAAAAATTATTAGTAAAAACTTATTTTCAAAAAAACCTATCTTTGTAAACAGCACATCAATGACTATAATTATTTTTCTAAGAATTTTTAAAAATATATATAAAACAAAAAATAAAAATAAAAAAACAAATTGGCCATAGTGAATCGTCTAATCATAGGTATGAGTAAGGGGGATGTAGGCAAAGGATGTAATGATGACTCTATTCTTTAATAAAAGTTTATACTAATACATACTTTTATTAATACATGTCTGCGAATATATCTATAACTTATATACGTTTTATAATTTGTGCAATTTTTCAAATTTAGTAGTCCTAAATGGCTTCTTTTTTTTTTTTTTTTTTTGGGTTCGTAAGATACTTTTGCATATGTTATATTTTTTGTTATCAATTTTTTTAATTGTATCGTAAAATGTTGTGAGTTCTTATATTAGAATAACATTATTTAGGGTTTAGGGTTTATGGATAGGGTTATGTTTAAGCGTTATGTTTAGGTGTCCTATAAATAAGTTTTCATAAGGTCTAATAAGTTAAGATAAGTGAACATCAGGTGAATAGAACACAACCTAAACCATTTGTAATTGATTAAGAGATTTTATGACTTTGGTGTATCATAGTAGTTCTACATACTAAGTTGCTTATACGTAATACGTATTTATTAACATGTAATTATATACAGTCACAAACATCGTTTTTCATGTAATACATCAAATTGATTCTATTGGATGTAACTATTTATATAAATATAGATTTGTTTGATTCATAACATTACGTTACATAGGAGCGACTGAGTACGATTAGGAGAATTGTTGTACATATTACACTAATAATCCTTAACATTGTTTGTATTTCATGTCAATGGGACCTATAAAAATCAGTTTGTATAATTCGTAACTGTAGACACCTGATTGTGTCTCCCCAAAAACCAAACCCAGTGATAAGTACCTTTCACGTCTTTGATTAACGAGTTCGGTAAAAAGTTGAAGAGTCTCGTGAAGTTCCCTTAAGCCTTGACCATATCCTTAATCTTTCTTAAAATGTTTTAATCCTTAAAATCATTCATTTCGTGTCTTTAAACCCAAAATAATTCATTTCATGTCCTTAAAATTATTCATTTTGTGTCCAACTCATAAAAACGTCCAAACCAAATTAGTTTGGTCCATAATCCCGGTCCAATTATTGCTTAGTTGATTGGGGCTTGAAAAAAAGCTTTCCAACGATATATTATAAGCCTAAATCCGACTTAAAATGAATAAGTTATGGCCAAAATACCAAACCGAGCCCAAGCCGAGCCTAGGTCCACCTTATTTATGACCCAATGATCATGTGAGGGTCCAAACACCATATTCTCAATCCTAAATCAATTAGGATTCTTTAGGAACTTCTAGAATTCTCTAGAAGGTTCTAATCTATCCTTTCCGAAAAGGTAAAGATCAAAAGAGTTTGAAGCCGAATAAAACTTCTCTTCTTATAATCATTATCCTGATCAAATTCAAAGACGTTCGGATATATTTAATTTCACAATCATAATCCCATTAGAAGTAAAAATCCGTGCAACTTTGTTATCTTCAGAAATCATCGCAGAACGACAAAACCAACGCGACACATTAGCTTCATCGCTCCGCGATAGACACTGCAGCACCGCGACAAGTCTGTCGCCTCGCGTCAAGAGCAGTTCTATTTCGTTCTAATTTCTGATCGTCCAAACTCTATTTTTTCCTTATAAATAGAGGTCGTTTTTGATTAGGGGATTTTTATCCACCAATCACCGTCTGACAAGTGGACCAACCAGGTTCCGCCACGTGTCCTTCACGAAGGCCAACAGGAGCTTGCCACGTGTCAATCACAGATACGTCCTCTACGGACCACTTTAGACACGCCACGTGTCCACCCATGCCAAATGGGACAACCGGCCATCAAGGCCCAATTCAGTCTAGAGGCCCGATCAGCCCTAGGTTTACCTTAAACCTAGAGAGTTGCACGCTTCTCAAGGCTATAAATACTCGATTAATCCTCATTAGTCACGGGATCGAATAATCAAGAGATCAAGCAGAGAAGAGCAGAGTTATTAACAACCGGCTAATCTCGCTAACAACGCAGATTACCAACTCTAAGCACTCTCACCTAGAGAGATCTCATTACTTTAATTTCTGTATTGATTACTCCTTAATCGGGTACTAACTTGACCGTTGGAGGCGGAGCTCTCAGGAGTCTCCGTTATTTTGCAGGTACAGGCGCCCGGTTCCAGTCTCGGAATTGTAACTCTCCCGCAGGACATCAGAAAACCCCGAAACATTTGGCGCCGTCTGTGGGGAGAGTACTTCAGAGATGGCATCCAAGTCTGTACCGACTCCAGAAGAGAGGCGTCCCCTAGACGACCCTCAAGTTCAGTCGGACCATGATACCGAAAGTGAATTTGAAGTTGAAACTCATACAGCTCCAGACGGGACCCTAAGGGCCCGACGTACCCGTCATACCGAAATGAGGGAACGGGAGTATCTTCAAACAGGAAGCGAGCCAGCAGGCGCACCGCTTGCTCGGCAACAGCCGACTGATGGGTCTGCTCCCATCACAAGGAACGAACTCATGACCTTCATGAGGGACTTCAAGGGAGAGATCCAAGAGTTGATCAACAAAAAACCGCCTGCTTCAGTCAAAGAGCAGTCGGCCAAGAAACCTTCCACTTCACTGAAGAGGAAGCCAGTTCAAGGGCGAGAGATGACTCCCCATCCTAAATCCAAGAAGCGGGAGCCATCTGTTCTTGATTTCACAAAACTCCGTTATCCTACGGGAAATAGGAAACCGGTTCGTCATATTCAGGCGGACGGGTCAAAGCAAACGTTCACAGATGCTCGGCACCTGCTAGAGCAGAAGAAGAGTGACCGATTATCAGAGTCGGCTTCTACTTCAAATTTTCAGGACAGTTTGCGAAATGCCTCAATGAGGCCAACTCAGTCGTACCATGAGAGTCAGTCAGGCGGCACCTCCCGTCAGTCCGGCTTTCATAGTGCCCAGGCGGTACCAAACTTACCATTTGTGCCGCAACAACAGTATTTTATGCAGCCACCTCCATTTGGTGGACCTGCAGCAAAAAACGTCCAACCTATGGACTGGCAGCTACGGCTGCTTAGACTTGGTGAACAGCCGTCGGCCTTCTCCAAGGAAATTACTGAAGCCGCTCAGCCGGCCAAAGTAAAAAATGTTCTAGTAGGCGCCTATGACGGCACTACTAACCCAGAAGACCATCTGATGGCATTCACCAACCTGATGTACCTTCAAGGGTTGGATGATCCCACCTGGTGCAAGTGTTTCCCAGCGACTCTCAAGGGAATCGCACAGCAATGGTTCGGCAACCTGCCGACTGGTTGTGTAAACAACTTCAGGACGCTTGCTTACTTATTTGCCTCCAACTTCGCTATGAACATCCCTGCGAAGAAAACGACCCTTGATTTGGGAACAATTCAGCAGGGTGAAAAGGAGGGGCTTCGTTCCTACATCAGGCGGTTCAACCTGATGAGAATACAGATTCAAGGGTTACCGGATGAGGTAGCTTATACTGACTTTTTTAGAGGTCTCAAAGACGGGTCTACCTTCAAATTTGATTTAGTTCGAAAAAGGGTGGCGACTCTTCAAGAGGCCTTGATTGAAGCAGAAGCCTATATACAGGCGACTGATCTGTGTACGATGAAACAGTCGGACGGGAAGAGGTTCGACAAAAGAGAGGGACGACAGAAACAGTCGTCCAACAAAGATGAAAAAAGAAAAGAGGTCTGGGCGGCTGATTCCTCTAAACAGCCGGCCCAGAAAAAGAAAAAAGAATTCAAACCATACTCCCCAAAGTATGTATTTAACAAGGATAACCAGTTTATCCTAAAAGAAATAAAGGGACGACTCTCAATTGAGAAGCCGCTCCCCATGAAGGGTTCTGCGAGCAACCGGAACCAAGACAAAATATGTGCTTATCATGATGACATTGGTCATCACACCAATGACTGCATCAGTCTCATGCGGTACCTAGACCGCTTGGCTGATCAAGGTGATCTTGACACTTATGTCAAGAAATCTACGGGGAATACTTCCTCAAAAAAGCAGTCAGCCAAAAAGAATCAACAGGCCGACAGTTCCGATACAGATGATGCAGTCGTCTACACCATTGCAGGCGGCTTCTCAGGAGGCGGCCCCACTATTAGGGGCAACAAAGATAATATAAGGCGGTTAGATGTAAATTCCGTTCACCAAGAACAGCCGTCCAAATATACATTTCCTGAGATTGTCATCACTGAAGAGGATCTAGGAGGAATAAGGGGACCGCATGACGACCCTCTCGTTATTGAATGTAAAGTGGCCAACCAGAGAGTTGGCCGAATCCTCATAGATACCGGGAGCTCTTCAGATCTCATCAGCAGCAAATGTCTGTCAAAACTGAAATATCAGACGGACTGCATACATCCGGCCTCCCACCCTTTAATAGGTTTTGGAGGAGGAGTCGTCCACCCACTGGGACGAGTGGATCTACCCATTCGCCTGGGCGAAAAAGGGGAAGGACGACACATGGTAGTCCGGTTCCTAGTGGTAGAGGAACTCTCGGCCTACAACATGATTCTGGGTCGACCAACCCTGAATAATTCCAAGGCTGTTATAATCCCGTCACTTATGCTGCTTAAGTTTGAAAGGGATAATGGAACAGTCGGCTCCCTAAGGGGAGATCAGAGGATGGCCCGAGAGTGCTATCTCTCGGATGTCAAGCCCATTGTTATGGCCACTGGGTCAAGTGGAGAAAAAACAGACCTTGACAATGTCAAGGAGAGTGCGCCTGTTCAAGAAACAGGCGACAGAAAAAGAAAGGCGTCCCAGACAGAGTCCGCAAGAAAGGCAAGAAAATAGCAATCATTGGCAGAGGACCGACCGGATGAGTTCCGCCCTCAGCCGGCTGGTGAGCATGCGGACCTGATATTAGACGACTCCCATCCTGACCGAACAGTCAAAGTAGGGACGACTGCTCTGAGAAACCTTGGTGACGACTTTCACAACCTGTTGAAAGAATACAAGGACATCTTTGCATTTGAAGTCCATGAAATGCCAGGCATTAGTCCTGATCTGGCAGTACACAAACTCGCTGTGGATCCGAAAAAGAAGCCGGTACGACAAAAGAAGCGGAACCATGGTGAAGAAAGAGGTCAGGCGGCAGCCGCCGAAGTCAAAAAATTACTTGATGCAGGGTTCATTCGGCAATGTTACTTCCCAGATTGGGTTGCAAATGTGGTGCTTGTTAAAAAGCCGAATGGCACCTGGCGAATGTGTGTAGACTACACAGACTTGAACAAGGCGTGCCCCAAAGACAGTTACCCTCTGCCTAAAATTGATAACCTGGTCGACTCAACAGCCGGCCATGCCTTGATGAGTTTTATGGACGCCTATTCTGGTTTTCATCAAATTCCTTTATGGAAGAAAGATCAGGAGAAGACGGCCTTCGTCACTGATCAGGGATTATACTGTTACACGGTCATGCCGTTTGGTCTTAAGAATGCCCCGGCTACCTTCCAACGAATGATAAACACAGTGTTCGTTGATCAGATTGGGAGAAACGTCGAGGCATACATTGATGATATGATTGTCAAGACTAAACTTCAGGAAGATCATCTGACGGACCTCCG